TTAGTGCCAAAGTAAGTAGTAGATAAACAAAATGACTTTTCCTCAGATAGTTTTTTAACTTTGGAAAGAAGTTATAAGTTTTAAAGAGAGAAAAGTTTTCAAAAATTGTTTATAATATCAAATAGTTACCACATATAAAATACAATATTTAAGCATTTTGAAAAATTAATTTTAGATGCTTCAATTTGATATCCTCTCTTTTAGCTTTTGCTGGAAAGTAGGCCACTTTTATCATGAAATTTCATTTAAAGTATAAATTAGCAAGGTGCAGTGGTGCATGCCTGTAATCCCAGTGTCTTGGAAGGTAGGAGAATCGAGAGTTCAAAGCCAGCCTCAGCACCACCAAGGCACTAAGCTATTCAGTGAGATCCTGTCTTCTAAATAAAATACAAAAAGGGCAGGGGATGTGGCTCAGTGGTCGAGTACCCCTGAATTTAATCCCCAGTACCCCCACAAAAGTATAAATTAATATAAATATTAAAATTAATTTTGTCATTATCCACTAGTGGTAAAATGATTTACTCCTTAATGACAGTCTTAAATACTATCAGATATATATATCTAATTATATTTATAATCATCTACTTTGGTAGTTTCAATTGTGTCTTAAATACTATTCAGATGTTAGACATAGTGTCAGTTTAATAGAAACTATATCAGTAGAATAAAAGTTTGTTTTAGAAACAAATTTCATTTGTACTTTTTTTCCTTGCCATCTATCTTTCCTGTTCTTTCTTCGCCTATTTTATGTCACATATCCATATACATACAAGAACCCTAAATAAATAATTAAGTAGATGGATATTTATTTAATCTCATCTACTTTACTATTTTAACTACTTCCCCTTTTTGAAATAGCTCAGTTTCCTGGAAAATGTTGAAACATAAATTGTAGAATAAAGAGGTCTGTGTAGTGCTGTAACTATGTCATAGCTTTGTCACCAGGAAACTTTTAATAGCAGCAACATTTCTATTACTATATATTACAAGGAAAAACATGCTCCAAAATGAGGATTTAAAAAGCATTATTATATTATGATTCACCAAAAATGATTCCATGTTATTGATTCATAGATATTTTGTATATAGTTGACCATCATTTTCTTAGA